CATGTGACTAACCTGTTTGTCCACCATGTGGAGGCGGAGCTTATAAGTCTGAGTTCACCTGAAACTCAGACTGAAGAAGTCTCTTGGAGGAGAGATGAAACGTTTCACTAAAGAAGAACCATCCAGAGGAACTACTGATTTTTTCTTTTTGATTTGTCCAATAACAGTCCAGAAACAACACAGACCCAGCAGGCCTTTCAGGTGCTTCTAAAGCTAACACTTCATCTCCGTTTCATTGTTTCTGCTAATCTATTCAAGCACTGAGCGTTCTCTGATCATTGACTTTATTCTGAAACGGATCCATTTATCTATAAAATCTCTGGAAATTTGTAAACTTCTGTGTTCCTTCTGTTAGCAGTTTGTTTTCATTTTTTATCTGTGGTCAGATGTTTTTAGATTAAGTGTCCTCATCAAGTTTTGGCCACATCTGCTACAAAAGTTAGGCTAAACTCTAAAATTCAGCTGAACCTCTGACTTTAACAAGCAAAACTACAGAACAAACAAACAAAAAACAAACAGTTTTCATCAGGACTTTAATTTAAACAGTCTGTCAGAAAGTTTTAAAAATGAACCAGCTTGTTCATATCAACTGAATTTTATATCAAAAATGTTTTTGGTGAAGTTTAAACTTTAGAGTCCAGATAATGTTACCTGATAATTTCATTCATCTGTTGAAACCTTTTTATCGTGTTTCTAATAAAGAGGAATTTTGTTGTTGTTGTTTTGAAAGTGCTCCTAAAGAAAAAATTGAAATGTGCACTAAAGAAAAATGTGTTTTGAATAAACTGCTTAAAAAAACTGTTCAACTAAAAGTATGAGCTAAAAATGTTCAGTTTCTGCAACAAAAACAGACTTCCTTTGATAGTTACAAGTATTATAAATCATAAAGTTAAGCTTTAAAAACCTAAAAAGCTTTTTTAAAAATCAGGTTTTTAGTTCACTTTGACACAAACTGAGGCACTTCTTTTAGTTTCAAATATAAAATGTATTAATATCCAGTATTTAAATGCTTGTATATTGCTTATACATCACAACCTTTTTAATTATACAGGAAATGGTTGAGCAGCTACAGCTACATCTAAGCAAAAATTAAAAAAACATACTATTTACTGCTAACTAGCCTATCTTAGCCGGGCCTCTTTTGATTTCAAACAAACCTTACATGAATATAAAGTCAATTAAACAGTTTATTTAAAACAGCTTTATATTTTCAGGATTTAATCTTTTATTATTATATTTTTCTGTACCTTCACTGTTTTCTGATTTAGCTCTGTATGTGTCAACATTTACATCCTGAGAGCCTGGCAGAACCAGAACCAGGAGCTCAGAAGTGCTGGGCAGAGCAGAGGAGCCACAGTTACAAATGATCCACTGAACAACTGAACTCTGCAGTAACAAACACCAGTTAAACCAGTTTCAGACTTTACACACAACACAAAGGTCTTACTGATACCTACGTCAGCTAAACACCAGACAGAAGACAGGACCAGATCTGGACCCTCACATATCAGGACCAACAGAACCAGAAGACTTTCTCTAAGCTGGGACTGGTTTGATCAGTCTGAACTGGTCTAAGAGGACTGGAACCTGTGGGAGGGACAGTGCTCAGCCCTTACTGCTGCAGGGAAGCCAGACGGGGAGTTGGTATTTCTCTCTGATTGGCTGAAGAGCTTTGTTGTAGGCGGGGCCTCGCAGCAGGGGCGGAGCCTCTCTGTCGTCATCCTCCTCCCCTTCAGCCAGTAAATCATTGATCTGTTGTTGCAGCTCTGGACTGATGTGGTTCTCTGCCAGAACCAAAACCCGCAGGCTGGTTGGGTAGTTCTCCACCATGTCCAGGAACACCTGAGGACAGGTACACCTGCTGTCAATACTCCAAACTGGACACTGAGGGACAGAGTGGAGACACAGAGGAGACACAGAGGAGACACAGAGGAGACACAGACAAGACAGAGAGGAGACACAGAGGAGACAGAGAGGAGACACAGATGAGACACAGAGGAGACAGAGAGGAGACAGAGAGGAGACAGAGAGGAGACACAGAGGAGACAGAGAGGAGACACAGAGGAGACAGAGAGGAGACAGAGTGGAGACACAGAGGAGACAGAGAGGAGACAGAGAGGAGACACAGAGGAGACAGAGAGGAGACAGAGAGGAGACACAGAGGAGACAGAGAGGAGACAGAGGAGACACAGAGGAGACAGAGAGGAGAGAGAGAGGAGACAGAGAGGAGACAGAGAGGAGACACAGAGGAGACAGAGAGGAGACAGAGAGGAGACACAGAGGAGACACAGAGGAGACAGAGAGGAGACACAGAGGAGACACAGAG